TAGGGTTAGATTTTCCCTTTTCCGATATAACAGTCCCTTGCTTGGAATGAACATAAGGTACTGGAGAATCTTGCCTACTTCGTGCATGTGTTTTTCCCTTAGGTCATGCATGAATTGACTAACAATGCTAACTGCATAAGCTGGATCAGATTTAGTATGAGCTACATATATCAATCTTTCTACTCATCATTGTATTGTCCCTTTTCAACTGAAGGACTCTTCTCTTTATTTTTCAGTCTCTGATTTTGCTTAAGAAGAGTATTGAAAACTTTACACCCAAGTTTTATCACTTCTTTAAGAAGATCAAGGACATACTTTTGCAGAAAAATAAAAATATCTTCCATTGAATAGGCTAATTCTATCCCAAGAAAATATCCCAGCTTCCTAAGACCTTTAACTTCAAATTCAGTAGTCAATTTCTCTTGTAGCACATGTTTCTTAACTATATCATTTCCTTTGATAATAATGTCATCAACATAAATGGGGAGAATAACGACTTTACCTCCTTGAGAGTGTTTAATGAAAAATGTGTGATCTCCTTGACTATACTTGTATCCCAGTGACACCATAACCTTGGTAAATATTCCAAACCAAGCACGTGGGGATTTCTTCAACCTACTGCAAACTTTAAATTTCTCCATTTGTGGTGTCATATCCCGGTGGAATCTCCATGTAAACCTTAAATAATTCACTATTGAGAAAGACATTCTTCACATCAAGTTGGTTCAAGTCCCAATCAAAGTGAGCAACAAGGGACAATATAACTCTCACAGTGTTCATTTTGACTACTAAAGCAAACGTTTCTTCATAATCAATGTCATAAGCTTTCTTGGCTATTAATCGAACCTTATACATATGGAGTTGTCATCTAAATTATATTTCAAAGTATAAACACAAACTATATGAGAAAGAAAGGACCCACGACCGAAACAGTGTCAGATCAAAAAGGATAGCACAAATATGGAAAAAGAAGGTTGGGGCGAGCACAACGACGACGAGCACGACTAAGAGGATGCTTCATATGCACCCACGTTGCAAGGCAATAGCGTATAGATCTCACGCATACAGAGACAGCCAACACGAGGAGGTGTGTGTGGTTGTTTCTAGTGATGGGCTCCTGGGTTTCAACCGATTTAGGACGCACGACCTCATCCTAGGATTGACCGGTTAGAAAAATGATTGAATATATAGTCAGCCAGAGAGATAATAACGATTGAAACTTTCCAGTGTGTGTAGAGGTGCATGGAGCAATTCTAGGACGACGCAAGTGTGTCGAAGAATTCTAGATCGGGATATTCTGAGTGAAAAATTTGCCTTCTTCACTGGAAAAGTTATCGAAATTTTTTTGATTGACCGCGAGTTAGGACCATTGTTGTCAAAAACTAGTGTAAAAACTTACATTTTTACTAGAGAGAGTGCGTGTTAAAACGATAGTAAAAACTGTCCTTAGTAAAAATTGGTAAAAATGCCGTGTAAAAACATAAAAACTGTAAAAACTTGTGTTTTTACCGTTTTGACCGTTTTTACTTAAAACTAATTTTTTTTTAAAAAAAAAAAAAAGATTTACAAAAAAAGAAATTAAAAAAAAAAAACCCAATTTTCATTTTCCCCAAATCATATGCACAAATCTTGATATCTTTTTGTTTAGATATATGTCTTTCATAATTATGTCTTATAAAGCTGCAATTCTATTATAAGTTATGCTATAGAATCATTTTGTGTTTTTGGATCATTGTGTGCACTAAAATAAGTGGAATGATATCATGATGAGCGATGATCCAAAATCTGCCTAGTGTATGAAGCAGTTAAAGCATGTTGGTTATCCATTACTTGTTAGTTATCACTGTTTATAATTTTGGCATTTGGTTATCAAAAAAAAATTTCCTTTTTAGATAGATAAGTGGCTCAACACACATTATGAGATATTTTTTTATATGCATATGCATATATGTATGTATGTACATATATATATATATATATATATATATATTTGTATCTTGACCTCAAGTAGTAGAAAGTAAAAACTTTACATTTCGTGTCGTTTCTACGTTTTACGTTTTTACCGCCCATTTCCGTTTCTACGTAGATACTCGAGTTTGACAACATTGGTTAGGACAACTGTGCAAGAGAATCCGCACTAAAGGCATAAAGAAAGGTCTGCACTAAAGACAGTAGCTGCAGAAGCTTAAGGCTCCTATATCGAGAGTTGTGATACAACTTAAAAGGAGAAAAATTAAAAAATATTAATAATTCTCAAGAGTACATGAATAAAGAAGTTAGAGATATATATATATATATATATATATATATATATATATATATATAGAGAGAGAGAGAAACTAATGAGTGTAAAGGAAACCTAAATCCTAAAAATTAAGGAAACACTAATTTGAATAATAAATAAAATAAATTTACAAATATTTTTCATATTTATAACGTAGAATATTATTCTACCTAATATATAGAGAGAGAGATAAACACTAATGAGTCTAGAGAATGAACCTAAATCCTAAAAATTAAGGAAACACTAATTTGACTAATAAATTTACAGATAATTTTCATATTTATAACGTAGAATATTATTCTACCTAAAAAAAATGAATACCAAATGATAAAGATTTAAAAGTTTTTTCTCTTTATATTATATATAGCTCCATATTATATACATATTTGGAGAGAGATCATTTGACTTTAGAGGAAAACTTATATATATAATTTTTTTATTAATAATAATTTCAATCAATGTATTTTATTTTATATAACTTTTAATGTAGTGTATTAATTATTTTAGCTCTTGAACACAAATAAATAAAAATTTAACAATATGATAAAAATATAAAACACAATATTCTTATGATTTAACATAATTTTTAATATTTGTGTGTGGGCACGTGCGTGTTTATGCATAATCATTATAAATAAAAATTTATATTATGTTTTATTGTTATTATTCCTTTATTATTACATTATTATAAATATATTAATTTTGTGATATCATTACACAATAATATATTATTTAGTGATACAATGAATATTTTTCTTTAAAATCTATTTCTTCTTCTAACAAGAGTTATAAGTCTCCTAATAATATTGTTAAGATATAAAACAATAATTTTTTTTTAAAATTTTATATCGTTAACTGAATTTGATAAGATATGACTTGTAAAATAAACAAGCTTTGTTAAAGATACAAACAGTTTTAAAACATGATCATTTATTTTATTATTTATATACTTTTATATTTTATGTATTTATGTTATGGATAAAGTTTTTATCCAGTCAATGGATATAAGTTATATCTGGTGAGCTCAAAATGATATCATTTTGGGGCGAAAATCAAAGTATTTTTGTAATTTTAATATATTGTAGGGATATATTAGTCTTTATTTATTTTTTAATCTTATAACTCAAAATAATATTGTTATAATTTTATCTCGAGTGACTGGAGAAATACTTTTTCCTTATATTATTTTGTTCTTTGCAAGTGAGTTAAGTTATTTTTCCTATATAATTCATGTCCATAATCCATTTTAAGAATCAGTGGAAAGTACAATAGATAAGAATAAAACAATGGCGCTTTTGTATGTGAGTAGTTGCATGCGCTTTGTAGGCGTGCAGAATAGCAATTAGCACATTCGGCATCAAATAAAATTTGTAGGCCTTGTGGTCCTATATGTCTGATATATTGTGCTTTAGTGAAGGGAAGGGCCGAAGGGACCATTTCTTCTGCCTGCTCTTCTTCCTTTTGTCCTGAAAATTAAGAAAGAGAAAAACCTTTTACATTAGCAATAGAGGATATATACTTAATTATGTTGAATATTTCTTTAAAGTTTTAAATGTACCACAAAGAAAAAACCAAGAGCTCTCAGTTCACTTTGTTGGGGCTGCAAGGAGCCCAACACCATCATCTAAATATTCGACAACAATAAACCCTAAACCAAAATAGCTAAATAATGAATAGCCCCCGGCGAGGATCGAACTCGCGACCTTTCGCTTACGAAGCGAACGCACTACCACTATGCTACGGAGGCTGATTGCAATGTAAAATAAATTAAAAGTAATATGTATCATTTTCTAAATTTGATTTGCTCTATTTTTAAATTTAAGGTAATAGATTTGAAACAAAATTTAACTTTGTGCGTGCGTTAGCAAACTGAAATTATCTCATTTTTATTTCTGTTGTACCCATTTTTTAAAATTTTATCTTTCCATTATTTAGCCCTTCCACTCCTTAAAAATAGCTTAGCATTACATTGATGGAAGTTAGTTCTCTACCCACTTTTTTGCACTTATGCATTTAGATTGATGACTATGGACTAGTGAAGGTGACAAGTGCAGTCAGGAGAACTATTCTCTTATATTGTTTAAGATTTGGTTTCCCAATGCTTTCTACAAAAATATAATGGGAAATATGTCTCTCCTGTGGTAGGAGAGACAATATTTTTCCTACAGATACATCGAAATGTGTGTCTTCTCTTTTCTTTTTTTCTTTTTTATTTATTGTGGTGGTACCTACAATGCCTTTGAGTCTGCAACATGAGAGAAGATGTCTCCTACTACGTAAGAAAATACAAACCCAAATATAATATTCCAGATTTTGTTGTAAAAAGGAGACGGACCCTTTTGTTGTCTAGAATATGAATTCATCTAAGAGACACTTTCATGGCATTTCCCAATAGTTTTCTCCACTTTCATTGAGGTGTGCAACTTATAACACTTTCATGGCATGATAGTTGGTGGCCTTACAAAAACCAAACTATGCGTCACAAGGAAAACACAAACAAGATGTGTCGTTCATAGGTGACACACAGATGTTCCACAAAGAATTTTTTTAGAATACCGCAGATGTGAATCCATGGTAAGTTACTTGCTTTACAACTTAGCAAAAATAATCAAAGCTCTAAATCTACAAACTTTATGGCTTGACACCAAAAAATTATATGTAAATGACAAGAAAGTGATGGATTAGAAATTAGTGATAAAGGGAAGAATGGAATGAACTACTTTCCAAATAGCTTCTTGCGCCTACCCAACTTGACTCGAGAACTAGTTGCTTCACCAATCACAATCTCGTCAACTAAGTCCTTAAATATCAGTCTCTCAACATCCAACACAACCCCAGGTATTTCACCATGGAAATCTGTCCATCTTTCTGAGCCATGCATCACATCTTCCAATAGAATACTTTTCAGTCCATCCCCTTCATCTTCTAAACTGCAATCTGGCTTCTTGGATTGAATTTTTTCTACCTCAAAGCACAGTTCTTTAAGAAGCTTTTGTGCACTGAGGACTTTCTTGGTGAGTCCATTAGGCTTCAACCATGGCTCGGGAGAAGAGCCTAATTTTACACCAAGAATCTCATTCACAGCATCAAAGATGAGTTTCCTGTGAAACTTCTCTGCATTTAGCTTCATGAAAGCAACTTTTCCGAGGCTGCTCTCTTCTTTTGAAAGCAAACTACTTACCTTGGTCTGCTCCAACACAAGGAATAACTCAGGGTTAATGGGATGACCTGATGAGTGATATTGAAATGTCAGCAATTCAGAACTCAGATCTCTGAGTAGTAGGCCTGAAGCTAATAGTATTTCGGAGATGTATCTGTGGTCTGGATTTGTATTTTCACAAAGGGAAGCTATGTAATCGATTCTAGCTTCATCATGATTTGAGTTTAGCCGTCTAAGCTTCTGAACAAGGTGATCTATGCTTTGCAATTTCTTGCGGTTGATCCCTCCAGATCCTGTGCTGTTAACTGAAATGCTATCTGCAGGGTTCCACTGATCTATATTTTCGTTTTCTTTAGATTCTTGACCATCTGCAGCATTTAAGCATATAGTGAAGTAGCGTAAAGAAAATATTATTTTTAAAAAGAAACTCAACAACGTATTAGACTATTGCACGTGACAAATACAATTAAGATTCCTTTATTTAGTGGATACTTGATGCTAAATATTCCGGAAATACATATTACACAAGGAAGAACGTACAAAGCCTATTATGTCTGATGCATAATGTAAAGAACCTTGGGATACACCACCCCAAAAGCTAGCTCAAAGGGTGGAAGTGCCCAAGGCCTTATAAACTCCACATTAGTTGCACATACAACCAATGTGGGACTATATATCTCAACACGCCCCCTCACACGAGAGCCTTTTGGGCTTGAAGTGTGGCCCCTCACACGAGAGCCCTTTGGGCTTGAAGTGTGGACAATGCAACAGGCTCAGCCTACCTGTGTTAAGAAACTCCACAAGAGAAAGAGTGGGGGACGGCGAGGCTCTGATACCACGTAAATAACCTTGGGATACACCATCCCAAAAGCTAGCTCAAAGGGTGGGAGTGTCCAAGACCTTATAAACTCCACATTAGTTGCACATACAACCAATGTGGGACTATATATCTCAACACATAAAGCATGAGTCTTTTCCTAGTTGTCACAATCATTGGCTTTGAAAATTTTTTAACATGCATACAATTTGAACGTCAAAAAGACTGGATACAAACCAGAAAAATCAGTGGCCAAAAGGAGCATAATTAGGAAAACATCATATCTAAGTGCCAAATCTGACATCTATTTTGAAGTATCTGTGCAATATAAGCATGATCAACCGTATTCTCAAGTTGTTGTCAGTCCTTCATAAAAATGGATTTTCAATCTATTACATGAGAAACCATTTCAAAAAGAAAAGAACTAATCTTTTATAAATAAAATTGTAATCAATCCTGAGGCTGAACTGATGGTCAAAACAAGAATTTGTCTTATTTTATTGGACTCAATATGAAGTATAGTCCTCAGGGATAATCAGGCTCTTAATTTTTGTATCCTTATTTGGAAGGCAAAAACCATACCTTTGGGAGCATTGCATATAAGCTTTACAGGGGATGGCACATCATCTCTGTATACTGAGATATCAAATACTGAAACACAACTTGGATGATCTGGGCCATTTGCTGCAAGTTCAACAATCGGCTCATCCTCATCCAATCCCAGAGTTGATTTCTGGAAAATTAAATAAAATATACATGTCAACTAGTAATTGGAATATGCAACTACTAAAATTATAAATTTTCTCATACAGATCTAATCAGAAAGCTTGAATTAATAGAGATTATCCCAGTTCTTACCTTCTTCATTGATCCTGAAACCAATTGCTCAATACCCTTCATGGATGGGCTTTGGCTATCAATAATTTCAGCAGATTGTAAACTGCTGGTGACTTCCATATCCATCTTTGAGTCAACTGAGATACTGTCTGATTGCAGAGATATTTCATCACCTTGGCAACTTAAACTTCTTGATTCATTGCTTATGTCACTAAGTTGGTCATCACTGTGCTGTGAATTATGGACTTTAGGTCTCAGTTTTCGAACAGGAGAACTTGATTCTGTTGTCTGCTTACTGGATTGCCTTCTGGTTTTATTTGAACCTGATGGAGGGGTAGGTGGTCGAGATCTCCTCTCCAACTCTAACTTCTGCTGCATTCTTGGGCTCACAGATCCTGAATTCTTTACTGAACTTGGGCTATTATCTTTTGGAAATTGCTGAGACCTTGGTTGAGATTGTGTTGATTTTATAGTCTTGCTACTACCAGCTTTCTTATCACTGGAACTGGTAGAAGCATCCCTGCGATTGTTTCTAGGAGACTGATCTTTTGCTATTCGACCAGAAGCTGTCCCTCTTTTATTATGTGCATGTACACCACCACTCTGGAGTTTATGGTAATCAGAAACTCCAACAGTTGGAATGACTGAAGAAGCCGAAATTCCAGCTTTCTCAACAAGTTTTGCTGGTTTCATGATCACAATTGGTGATTCAAAAGTCCTTGCTGAGTCAGTTCCCCTGATTTTATGTTTCCTTACCGACAGAGAATTCTGAACTAGACTCATTTTTGGTTCATAGTCTCTTTGATTTGAAACAACATTTGAAGCTTGTTCTTCTTTTCTTGTCTCTAACAGCCCCTTTACTTGCATTGCTTCTAGTATCCGTTTGAGTGCTCTAAGATCCCTTCCAGACTGTTTAAATTCAAGATCCTTCAATCTCTTCTCAATCTCACTATAAACTGAAGGAAATGAATCTGGTGTTCTCGGTGGAGCTTTTATGGACCTGGAATTTGGTTTCTGAGAGCTTCGGTTTCCATCCTGCTGCTTCCATGGTGCTGGTTCAATGGGAAACCTTGAACTTGAGAAAGGTTTAACAACCAAATCAGGATTCTTCCACTGCGGGGGACTTGGGTCTTTCAATGAACTTTTAGGAGAATTGGAAACTCGGAGTGGCCCGGTGAGTCCATTTTTTGAAAACTGAGCATTACTTTGAGTTGAGCCAGTTTCACTCACACTTGACTGATTATCACTAGCCAAATAAGACTCTGGCAATGCTTCCAAGCCCATTAATTTTGCTACAACACTAGGTGACCGGCTCTGAGTTGCTGAAGACTGTTGTAGACTAGAGACTTTGTTATCTGAGGTGGAGGTACCACCAGTGTTCAAATTTCTCGAGAGGTGACTGTGTTTTGAATCAGAGCTGAATGTGCGCCATGAACTTTCCCTACTGTCAAGTGAAAGTCTAGGAAGCTCTTTTAGCTTTGGTGGAAATTTGGTGGTATCAAGTGATTCAAAAGATAAACGACTTATTTCTCTTCCATCATAAGAAAACCGACGAGCATCCTTTGATGTGGAATGCCAATGTCCATCTTTCACTTCATATGATAATCTTGCAAGTTCTTTAACTTCTTCATCATAATGCCAAGGTGCTTCCCTAAGTTTAGCAAGAAGTCGGAGTCTGAGAGACTCCTCTAAATCAACAGGCACACTTAGTTTTCTATCCACAGATTTGGACAGCTGAAGAGGTCTTGGGGAGTCCATGTGCTTTATAACACCAATGGCAGCTTCCTCTTTGGATAGTCCTCTAGCCTCCCTATACATTGAGTCCCTCACCACATCCCTCAGGTCAAGGGAGTGACGCCCTAAATGGGGAGAGGTACTTGATTGGTTCATAACTTGGTCCCTCATTGGAGTTTCAGGAAAAATAATCCGGTCTAAGGGAGTATCTGCTTGAGCTTTACAATCCAGAGAGGACATTGATGATGAACAAGAAGAAGAGAACGAGGCTCTTGATGATTCTGTTGAAATTCTTTGTTTTTCACTCACACCCTTGTTTAAGCTTGTATCCTGCGATTAATTCGCTAAGTTGCATAAGTTCAGTTTCTTTCAAATGTGTGCAGTTTTGTTTCAGACAAGATGGCAATTACAAGACATGCATTACCCAAACAAGGAAAAAAACAGAATCATAAGTCTCTGAATTAGGAAATAGAAATAAACAGAATACATTTGATTGTGCAGAAGTTAAGGGTATGGACAAATCCTGAAATTGATTTTGAGGAAGATAACAAACAATTCTCAGCCTTTTACATTTGACTCCAGTAGATGGTATGAATTGACTCACAACCCAATGATAATATATCATTGGATCAGCATATGCATACTTGATCTAGTAACAAAAATTCCATGCCTTAAATTGAAGCAATATTCAAGAAATCTTGTATAGTAAAACAGTAGACAATTTGTAAAACGGGAAAAGGAAGGTTCTTACAGCTGCTGTACGTCGTTGGCGTATGCTATTAGAATCTCTTTCCAGGCTGTCATAATTGTAGTGGGAATTGCCTACAATGAAATGGAAACATATGACCAAGAACCAAGAATAAACCGCATACAAAATCTTCAAAATGAACTTCAACATTTGTTAAATAAATTATGACAAACATCTTATCCACGTGAATTCAGAGCAAACCTGCAAGGACTAAAAGAAAAAAGAAAAACTGCAAACCACCCTCCCCACTTTCAAAACATGTGAAGAAGAAAGATGAAAAAGGACCGAATTAGACAAAAGGCCTTAAAACCCATGACACTAATCTGAGATTAGAATCCTTGTGATAAGTCAACTATTAGGAAACAGCTCAATTCATAACAATTTCTGAGATTGACAAGAGCAAAACAGAAAGAGGGGGAAAAAAAGATCAAAATAATGCTTATATAAACTAAATTACCAAAATTGAGCATGTAACTACTAGAGGTTTACCAGGAGGAGGCCTCTTCTGGCTAATTTGGCGAGCAGTAACAATATGATGACGATCAAAGAGTTGAAAAATCCCAGTCATGCATCCTATCTGCTTCTGTAAATCTGGGTTATCATCTGCTAAAGAATGTAGGAGTTTTGCAGCCATATCCACCTCTTCTTCTCCAATTAAACTCAACTTCTCAACTACCACAATCAATTGCAATTACTCCCTCTTCATAAAAGCTCTATCATTTGTTACTCTCCAATCTACCAACACAACACAACGCTGGAAAGTGCAAACCCCTTCAGAAAAAGGTTTCAGATTCTAATAACAATAACACAGAATCCGGGACTCCAGAGAGCTCAAAGGGGTCCTTATTCCTTTACCATCCAAAAATACAATCCATTTTGCTTAAAGATAAGTAAATGAGCCTCCTTTCTCTTCCTTCACACTCAATTATAGTACAGGCCAAAATTCATCTTGTCTTTAACCCAGATAACTACAAGTCAATGGAGCAGGTTTCCACATTTATGCAGTTCCATATGCAGCATCCAGAAAGAGGTTTCCTTCCCCAGCTGCAGATAAACAATACTCTTGCTAAACCCTCCAGCTAATTTCATCAAATGCTATTATACAATTGACTCCTTACAAAATATGAAAGAAAACAACTTTTGCCGACTGAACTGAACACTACAATCCCAAAAATTTCCAATTATGACTTATATTCCCTTTTTCGGTATTGGGTTTCACAAGAAATAAACCAGGCAACACCTTGTATGATAATAACCAAAAAAAGGCCAAATGAAAAGAAAGTGGCCAATACCCCTTACAATATAAACACAAGAAACACAGAGGGACACACACACACACAAGCTTGAACAACCTAAATGAAACTAGTTCCAATGCAGACACTTCAAATGAATGTCAGCAGATCCAAGAAGAATTGTAATAATAAGATCTACTGATCTCCTTAAAGAACAAATGGAGAATCATAATAAAAAATGTGCTACCAATCTGGTCAGAGCTGGCACAAAAATTCCTTATTATTTTCTTAATATATATTATTTTATTTTTTCTTGGGGAGAAAGACAAGAGAGGGGTGAGTGAAAAATGTTTTAGTGGGTCAGATGTACCTAAGACTCTTTAACTCACAAATCCATGTGGGATTAGGATGTGTGGGTCTGAACCTGTCTGCATGTGCATGTGATACTGTCAGGACAGAGAGGGAGAGAGTACAGCTTGTAGGGTCTAAACTCAAAAGGCTCAGTAAAGTGTATAATCAGTTATGCATAATAAGTGGTAAGTGGTAAGTGGAGGAGGGTGTGTTGATTTTAAAGCACTGAAAAATGTTGAAAAGGTTGCAATACTCTTACTTCCTGCAAAAGTGCAAAGTACAACCAAATAGAGTTTTCACAAGTGGTAAGGAAGTTGTGTCCTTTAAACCAATGATTTTGTGTTCGAGTTTTAAAAAAGAAAAAAATGATGAAGAGCCACCTCTCTGTAAGATCTGACGATGCTAGAACCAGACTAGTATCAAAGATGAACCGATGGAGGAGACAATAAAAAAATGCAAATTCCAAGTACCCCTTTTCAAAGCTTCAATCTCTCATCCTTCCATTGAAACCCTCCAGTTTCCTCTACAAAAACGTAGTTGCTAAGAAAACAAATACAATTTAAGCTGCAAACTAATGTATTATAGTGATTATTCCCTAACATTTTAAATGCATTTTTGTCAAATATATTATAAAACTTGCCTAAAGCATTCAATTTGTTTATTAATAAATGGATGTCATTATTTTATGATATTGTAAGATGTAAAGTGCCGTGTGTCGACTCGTCTGTTTTATTACAAAAGCTTATAATAATCTAATGCATTCTTTTTCTTTTTAATAGTATGAAAATCTCCAATTTTAATTATAATAAATCAAATAAATTAAAACACAGTGACAACTTTTTGCATCATTCAATAATAAAATACTTGCCACTTACAGATAAGTTTCCATTCCTTAATCTAATTCTTGACCAACTGAAAACAGTGCTCGAGGAAGAAACATCATCGGAGTATGTGTTAATTGCCAAAAATTAAAAACGGAGAAGGGAGAAAGATATCTATTTAAACTAAAAGATAATGCGATTTAATGTATGGACAGGAAGGAAGATATACTGATGAAACTCTGGACAAACTGATTTACTTTACAAACTTTCACATTCATTCTATTTTGTGTGCAAAAGATAAACTTCGGTCTATTAATATTTTGAAGGGATTTTAGATTGTTTAATTAATTAAGTTATCTTGCAATCATGCCATAACTAAATTGGAATTATTATTATTTTTTACTTGATGTATTTATTTATTTTCCTAATCCCACATGATGAATGAGTCCAATGCAATTTATTGTGTCATTGATGTTTAATCAATAATTAAGAGACATAACCATACATGCAGGCCATTACAAATTACAACCAATACCAGCAAGTGAGCAAGTCTTAAAGCACCTTCAACGAACACCTACGTAGTATTTAATTTCACAGGGTCAAGTCAATGATGCGTAAGCATATTATATACAGATATGCATTAGTACATATACAGCGTTTATATATTTTATATTTTATACAAAAATATATACACCGAATATACTTGGTAAGTTCCATTGCTGGACCCCACCCGTGCATTATCTAGATTGCATCTTAGGCTTAGGGTACCCCAGAGAAAAAATTATATGGAAAAGTCTGATCCGTTATTCAGGAACTGGGAATTCTGTGTCAGATTTATGGGGCACAGGGCCACCCAGCAATTCCTAATTCATTCCAAAATTTCCCAACAAGCTATTTCATATTGTTTTTACTGAGTTTCAGGGCATAAAAGAAGAATGGACACTCCCGAGTCCCACGGGTCCAATCGTCAGAAAAAATCTAAAGGGCTACCTTGCTTTATTTCTCATCACAAGTAAACATGATTCATTGATCAAGAGTTGCTAGAAAATGTGTTTACCCCAACCCCACAAATGGGCTCGTTAGTTACCACATGTTGCATTTTAGGCCAAAAGTAATAGTTATTATTTAGGGTGCAATTTTTTTTAAGGTAATAGTTTTCTTATGCAGTAGGAGATAATTATTATCTTCTACATACTCATTTATGTATGTGAGGTTCACTTTTAGGATAAGAGAAAAAAAGATAGAATGAAACTTATCTTGAATTTGTGTGTATAGGAGATAAATTCATTCTTATGTAACATAAGAATAATAAATTTCATCTTTTTATTTACCCCAATCACTTCAAGTGTAATAATTCCATCTAATTTTGACCCCACACTAGATATAGGCTTGAAGGTGATCCTATATAGGCTTGAAGGTGATTCACTAGGATTAAAGAAGTAGGATCCCTTATCCAAAAAAAAAAGAAAAAAAAGTAGGATCCCCAAAATGAATTCTTTGCGGGAGGTTTCTCTAGAGCCCATACCTGTCTCGGAGATAAAGAATACTGTCAACATGTTTGTAATGCAGGATGGCTGTTGGGATTGGGGGAAATTCAATGTGCTACTTCCACCGGACGTCATTGACTGGATTGCTGGTATGATTCCCCTTACTGATGAGGATGGAGAAGACTGCGTAATTTGGGACACTTCAAATGATGGGGCCTTTTCAGTTAAATCGGTTTACATGGTTCTCAATCCTACTCCCATCTCTGAGTGAGCATGGGAAGAAATGGTCTTTGGCTTGGGACTGGGAGGGCCCCCAAAGAATTAGGAACTTCCTCTGGCTTCTTATTGGTGACAAGCTACTTACTAATGAAGCTAAATGTAAGAGACACATGGGGGAGGATAGTTGTTTTCGTCGCTGTCAATTCCCTGTAGAAGATGGTCTACATATATTCAGGAATTGCCCTTAGTCTAGAGCTCTCTGGTTGAGAATGGTCGACTGTAACATCAGGCCTCAGTTCTTTAATCTAAGCTTTATGGATTGGTTGGAAGATAATCTAAGTAGGAGGAGGGGTAGGCACAACCACTATTGATGGGATACCCTCTTTGGTGTCACGTGTTGGATGATATGGCAAGAGAGGAATAATTTCATCTTCAAAGAGGATTGCAAGACCCAAGATTGTGTTATAGCTGGAGCGAAGTCCTTCACCATGAACATTGGGTTGGCAGAGCAAACTTTAGCCACCGCCGGGATTCGTCCTAGCTGGAAACAGGAAATCTTTATCAAATGGATCTTCCCTCCTTCTGGTTGGGTTAAGCTGAATATGGATGGGGCTTGCAAATGGAACACCAGGAAGATGGGCTGTGGAGGAGTCATTAGGGCTTGTACTGGTCATTGGATCGTGGGATTCTCTAAGAATCTGGGTAAAGGAAATTCTTTGATTGATGAATTATGGGGTGCTCTTATTGGGCTTGATCTAGCTTGGAGTAAAGGCTTCAAGTCTGTTATTATGGAGGGGGATTCTTCTACCATGATCAATCTCTTGAATGATGGTTGTGAGCCTCACAAACCTTGCTTCAACCTGGTTCTCAAAATCCAGAGCCTTATTAATCGTCCCTGGCGCGTTATCGTCTCCCACTCCCTCAGGGAAAGCAACTCGGTTGCTGACTGGATGGCCAACAGCTCCCTAGCTCAAGACTGGAGCACTGTCGTGTTTCTACACCTAGGCTTGTAAACATGTAGTCTGTTTTTGTTTCCCGTGTTTTTCAAAAAAAGAAAAGAAGTAGGAAATCACATATGAATTAGATATAATCGAAGTGTGTTAAGTGGAATGATGAGTGTGAAAAGGAGTCATTGAACCCAAGTGAGGGATCACTTAAGTCATGAGCTAGTGAACGGTGATTCACTATGACCAAAGACATGTAAAGGTTAAGGAACCCTCATACCCATTCAGGGGCGGAGCCAGGGGGAGGCTAGGGTGGGCGGCCGCCCCCCTCCCCTCTCCCCCCCCCCCCCCCCCCCCCCCCCCCCCAAAAAAAAATAAAATAAAATAAAATTGACGCAGTTGTAGGCTAGACGTGGTACTGTTGTTATTGTTAAATATGTGTATTCTGGAAGTTCTGATTTGAGATCCAAGTAGAAATCTACCTCCACTTCACCTAATATGTGTGTGTCATGTGTACCCTTTTCTGTATATTTTTTTTTTTTATTTTCATTTGCTATATTTTGGTTAATGAAAGCTTTCACATTTTTGCTTTGCTCTCTTGTCATTTGCATGGTTATGTTTCTTTTTGAGTAGTGGTTTCATACAGAGAAAATGAGTTTGCTCTGACTTAAAAGATTCACTTTTTGGGGCAATTTAGTTCAGTCTTTTATTTATTTAAAAAAATTATAGTTAAAAGCATTGTTTTAGTTGATGTTAACGTTGAATAAAGGCATTATCCTTTTTTGTTTTTAATTATTGCTTTTAACTACATTTTCAGTCTTTTAAATGTTGTTAAATGTTAATATTTTGGTAAGAAATTACCTAAATGAGTTCCATAAAAGTATGAAGTCAATTGGTAGAGAAAACATTGATATTATGCAGCACAAAAAATTAATTTTTGCCCCCTTTCTCTCCAATTCTGACTCCGCCACCGTATCCATTCAACCTTGGGCGCAACTTATGAAGGAGTGCATATGGGCCAATTGATAATTACTTAGGCTAAAGGATTAAATGAATAAAATATATATATTAGTTCCTCAAATATATAAAATATTATCATATTTATCTTTATACATAATTAAAGAAGTGACAAAAAAAAAAAATTAAATTTGGAGACCATTTTATATCTTTAAAAAATTAAAGTAGTAATGTTTAATCTTTAAAGAACTAATTTAATAATAAAAATATTTAAAAGATTAATACATCCATTTCAATTAGCTTATTATTTGTGCACGCCATGAAGATCATACACTTTGTTGCATTGCGTCTAGCAATTGAAAGTGATAGTGATACACATAGGGACGGAAAAAAGATTAGGCCTATCAATAAAACCCCACATTCACAAAGCGAAGGATCTCACTCACATGTGGTGTGCCAAACTCTTATCAGGCAGGATCAACTAACCTATCTCAATCATCTCTAGACCATGTTCGAAGAAACATATATTACTCGGTAACCCTCTTTGATTGGCACATTATGCCTTACCTTTTTGGAAGAGCATCCCCACCAATAATCATTATGTGTAGACTGTAGATGCACTTCAATCACGAAAAGAATTATAAGCAAAGGTGGATCGAACCCAATAAATTAGTTTATCCAAAAGAAGAAAAATCATGATGTGTGTGTGAGAGAGGGGAGTGAATTCTCTTACGTTGAAAAAGATATGATATGATCACGTGAACAATCATAACCATATAAAGGTGGACTAATGATGATAAAAGAGGAGAAAGAGAAAAATATTAAATTTGATAATTACTAAATCATAATCATTGTATGTCTATGATTGTCTCATAACCACATCATTTGTTTTTTAAAGATGAGAGGATTTATTTTATGAAAAAATATGTGTCATTTTAAAGGATGTAAACTTATAGTTATGTCATTTTAAGAGAGATAAATAGATAGATAAAGGAGTAGAGAAAGTTGATAAAAATAAATAAATGTGTGGATCTCATCTCTTTATGAGTGTGAAATGACACAATTTATATTATTTAAAAGGATAAACATTTTTTCTTTTATTTTATGTGTGGTATATTTTCCAAAAAGTAAAACAGATTGTGTGACCATGAAACTAGGAAGATTTCCAATCTAAGACCTACTTAGCATAGACATTGCTTTTTAAGGTTGCAAAGTGAAAAGGAAATTCAGATGTTTTTTATTTCAAACTTGGATTAAAAGTAAAGTGGCTCCAACTGAATACATGATTGGGCATTTGGGCTTCTTCTGCTTTCGTTGTTGAGCCTCAGGAAAAATTAAAAAAGAAAGTAGTTTGATTCTCCGCTATTTTAATAGGCAACTCAATATTTTGCATAAATGCGCAACACATGCAGTTAATTATTTTATACGGGATACTGTCACGGGTCTAAACCTTTTTTTTTTTCTGTTCGAAAAAAAATATCTAATTAATATATTTTGATGTTATAGTTTATTGGTATTTCCTTTTATCAAAATGTCACGTTATAATTCGAAATTCATTTCTCTACTAATCTAATTCACTGCAACTCCAACTTGTTATTTCTTAATAATTCATATTAATTTAAACGCCTTAGCAAAATATGACTTTTCAAGTATAAGTCAATGTGATTGCCTAGTGAAGATTACTATATTATCTAATGATCAGCCAAAACAAAACAAAAAAATGAAAAAGAAAAATAATGACCTTTTAGGCTGTCGTTCTACTTAAATCCTTAAAATAAAATAGAAGAAAAGGGAGAAAAGCTAAAAGGCTATTTTTCATTATATTTCTCGTGCGGTTGTCTTAAATAAAATCATGAGTTAGGTTAGGTTTGATATCTAAATGTTCACATTTAATTTGATTTTTTATTTTATTTTCTTACAATGTCTTAAGACGTTACTTATTATTATAACAAAATATTATGGATCATTATGTAATTGAATGGCCAGAACACAAGTTGGTGTGGTGCTTGCCTTCTTTTATTTTTTTAATGCTTCTTCTGCTTAATTTGACAAATTGTTGATACGCCTTTAAGAGAGAAGTAACTAATTGGGTTGGTGTAGAACCTAAGCAATGACATCATGGGTTGGCTACTTCAAAGATTGATAATGTGGGCAATAAAACACAATCGAAGATGGTACCCGTCACATTGTTTTGGTAGCTTTATCTTCATTTGTATTTGGTACCAATCAATATTTTTTAAATTGATGAGTTGGGTTGGGAGAATACGCCAAACAAACCTTAAGTTTTTCGTTCATAGTTGAGTCACTTTTAATTTGGATTTTATGTGCTTTTTATTAGCTGTTTTTTGGTGAATTAAACTCAAATTGGGACCATTCTTGTTGCTTGAAGAAGGGAAGGGGTTCATATTAAGTTTGTGGACCCAAGCAATGCATACTATGTAAACTAATGAATATAAGCACACAGACTTGTTCTTCAAAATAGTTGCAAGCACATGCAAATATAAACCTTGCATGGTTGGTGCATGTGACAACACTGAGAAGCACATGCCATTCTATACATGGCTAAAGCTTTGAGGAAACGGTGGTTGGTTGGTTTAGAGAATTGCTCAACTGTCATTTCCAACTACCCGCGTGAAAATGAAGGATACGGAATATATATATAGACAGGATATTCTTACATCGGTTTAATCTTATACCCAATCTTGATCATTGATTTGCTTTCATCTAACGGCTCAAATATTTAATAAATCAGAACCTTTAAACGATCAAAATTGAAAGTATAACTTATACTGATATAAAATAATCTTGATCCATATATATATATATATATATATATATATATATATATATATATATATATTGTTGTACTAAATTGCCAAATAATTAAGCCTATATATTGTTGTACTAAATTGCCAAATAATTAAGCCCTGTAAGCCTATAATCATAGAGAAGCTAAAGCTTCTGAGCCATTGCAATGCTTAATTTTTTATTTTATTTTTTTGGGCATACGTATTTGATAGCTTAATTTTCAGCTGAAAAATATGGAAAAGACAAACAGTCTTCGAAAAGGAGGGAGACCAATGCACCCATAGTATTATATTTGGAAATGTCACTGCCACACACACCTACTTTTCATTCAAAACTAAAGATAAACTTAGTACAGAAAAATTGACAATCCATGATAGTAAATTTTTTTTTTAATTTGGATAACACGTTAGTAATAGGTTTTACTACAGTGAGTTTATTTTCTTTTTCTTTCTTTCTTTCCTTTTTTATTTTTCGTTCTTGCTTCTTGATTTACTTTTTGCTTAATTACATCATTTACATGCCCTTAACATGCATCAGAAGCAATCAGAGAGGTGTTCCTACAAGAGGGAACAGAACAATAGAGTGACTCCAAGAGCTTTGGAATTTGATACCTAATGTAAAGCTGCATTTTGGGAAAAAAAAAAAAATTTGATGCCCACACACCAACAAAAAAAAAAGAGGAAAAAACATTGTAGTCAGCCTTTTAACAAAAAATTTTTTCCTTGCAATGAATGAAGACAAGAACAGAAATAAATAGATAACTCAGTACTTTCAAACTAAGGACTACATCTATCACTACCTAAACTGAAAGGTAATCATGGTTATGTTCAATAAAAAATTCAGATCAAAGGATGTCAGCGAGCAGATAATAGTTGTATATCCCACCAGTTGACGATGTTAGTCTATATCACCTGTTATATTGACCTCTATGATCAACTTGAGAAGAGGAATGTACAAACGCCAAGCAGACAAGGTCTTCATTACTATCAGCCATTATCTCCTGAGTTCAAATTAATTTTGCTGGTTCACTGCACTCTCCTGTCCTTGGAGGAGTGGAATCCACCATTGCACCTACCAGTTCATTGGAAAATTAATCTTATGTTGGGGAACCAGGGTCCATTTTATATGACAAGAAACAAGAAATAAACTTGAACATAAAATAGAAAATACTATGTACCAGAAACCTTTTTTTTTTAAAGTTCCATCAAAATCACTTCCCCTCTTAATATAATACCTATTTAAACATTAATTGTCCTAAAATCTTAACTAAAAAAAAAAAAACTATCAGATAAATCTCTGCTGTATATGACTATGACACATAAATGAATGTTCAACATCTGGTACACATAAGAGCATGTTCTCAGGGAAATGGGCAGGTCCCATATAACAATGGAAAATTTACTCCAGTTTTTCAAGTACATATAATGAAACAGAAACCCATCCAGCATTAAATAATATCTCTTTACAGCAAAGGGCACAATGTACAGCTGCAGTCATAATCAGATGTCACCAATGATGCTTCTATGCTTCCTTTTAAGTTTTAACAGAAACAATTTAAGTGAAGCAAAGGATTATCTTCTGGAATTTGGATTACGGTTGATTCCAAATGTGAACATCTTGACTTCTTTACAGCAGGAGATAGGTATTGAGGCAAAACACTGCCACGATGGCCTAAGCATGATAAGCCATCCAGAATGAAACTCAAAGCCTGATTTTTTTCACCTGACTTAACTCAGCCCAGCCAAAATTGGGCTGGCCCGAAATCTTATCTACTTTTTAACCAGCAAGCTATCACCTAAGTGCATGCCATAGCACCATTTTTTGCTTGAAGAATCGAAGCCCAATTGACAATTAAAGCTAGCTCCCTAATTTGTTTGTCATTGGCCCAAAACCGAGTTATCCAAATTTCTTAATTCTCATTGGTTTAAATTTTTTAAATATTAGATGTATTGCATTTAGAGAGAGAGAGAGAGAGAGATTAGGCAGGCAGGCCCAAAACATACCTAACCCAATTTGGAGCTGCCTTAAAATGGCTCAGCCCGAATGGGTCAGTTTTAACAGCTCTCAGATCATTCTATTTCACTAATAAAACCAAGCCACTTATTCTCAAAGCATAAACAGCACATAATGAAATGAGTACCATTGGTCCATTGCAACTGCAATTAGGCTAGAGGCTAAGCTATTTGTCTGGTGGGGAGAGAGGAAGGAATCTCAACTTAATTTTTCTTTTGATGAAAGAAGAAAGTTTATTGCTTGAATTATTTCATTCAGTTCACCCATTCAATAATCCAAGCTGGAAATATTTGTTCTCCATATGAGAAATGAACTCGGCAGAGATATAATATAAAACTATATATGTGTAAAGATATAACAACTTAGTGTTTGGGATACTTGGTATCAAAGCTTCTACGCCCATGTGTCAAGAGTTCAACCCCTGTTGTCCCTCATTCTTCTAAACCATAGTTATATTTCAGCACAAGAACAGATAGGCCTGGACATCGTCCATGCTTAAGTCCAAAAGGATCTTGTCTGAAAAGGTGTGTTAGGCACGAGCCTCAGCATCAGAATATGGTTTAGAAGTTTCATCTTCTCAATCTCTCAAGTTTCTTCCTTTCCCTACCATTTTTCCTGCAAGTCTAGTCTATTTTCATACAGATCCCTAACAGTGTGTTAGAAGTGTAATATAAAAAATCATTCATGTGTCATCATCACCTAACAACTTAAACTTTTGACATAGTTGATTCTTGATTGAACTAAAAAAAGCCACTTAATGAATAAATGCAGACACGTAAAAATTCTAATTGCAAACACGTTTTCATACCTTGATTTGACAGACACACAGCACTCTCAGCTGCTGCAGGTTTCAGAAACTCAGTATTGCAATTTGGTGCATCACTTGTTTTATCATGCCTTGAAACTTCAAAGTTGGAAATTGGCACATTTGTTTGATCATTGGTTTGGACTTCACCTTTGGAACTTATCACCTCATTTGCTCCGTCATTTTTCAAGTTTCCCCACAAGGATTTTGGTGTTTCATTATTTTCATTATTTCGATTCAAAAAAGCAGCTTCTGGTTCTGGGTTGGCAGAAACCTGCAGGATAGTCATGTATATATAAACGAAACCTTACAAAAGACCAGCCCAGCATTCCCAGGGATACACATTATTAGCTTGTCATCTATTATTTGGGAACATCACAAACAAACAAAGAGTCATTAACTCCAACTTGTGCATCATATCTTCTGAAGAGATTCATATTCTCAACACAGGATGGAGATCTTTCAACCAAATACACAACTAGATCCAAGCAAACCAACCCTCATTTGGAAACTCAGACAATGTCATCTCATCAAGAAAAAATCATAAGAAATATAGAATTGGACTAATTTACCCCATGACAAGAAAGGAAAAACATTGTCATTGTATACATATCCCAGAAATGTATTAAAAGAATTACATCAACCATAGTTCATAGGGATCCACCACTATATATATATATATATATATATCCATGGGGGAAGATTCTTCAGCAAAGTAGTAGAAATGAATCTCAAGATTATGCTAATAATTTATATGAAATAAGATATCATTTGCAAGGAGTATATATAATACAGTATCTCCTACAAAATAAAACTTCGTGAAAATCCAATAATCTCAGGAAGTACACGCTCTAACTTGCAGCAGTTCCAGCAATTTTAAAGAGAAGAAAATGTCTGATAATATAAATCATAACATTAAGACCAACTTCCTTTCAATAAGAAAGCTCAACTGAATCATTCTGTCAATAAATTTTTAATTAAAAGAATAATTCTATTGATCAATCTCTGCCAGGTGTACTTCAAAAAAAAAAAAAAAATTGGAAATCACTACCCAGACCTGCCTCTAGAATTCTAAATAACAGAAGGAAAACAACTTGACCTTATGAGTAGCAGAAGCATTGGCAGTTGTTCGGTCACTGGATATAAGTGCAGAAACAGCTTCAATGCGGTTTTCATGAGATTCTGTACTGTCTCCAGGAACTACTTGTCTATTTTCCATTTCATTTTGCTTAATCACTTTAGGAGTCTTTAATTTGTTAGGGTGTATCCCATTTGAGATAACACCATCAATTTCACCAGCAGTCCTTTTCCTGCTTTGAGAATCAAACATAAGTTAAAACAAACTTATATAAAAATGGATGCTTAATATTAGCAACACATTGAAAAGCGATAGAGAAGGAGAGAGAGGAAGAACTAAAGAAGACATACCTACTGGAAGTATGAGCAGCCGGGTGCAGAGAGTTAGGCTTGTTTAAAAACAGAATTCCACGAAGAGGTTTTCCATCAATAACAGTTTCAATAGTATATCCTTCTGAGATGTTTTCAGTAACCTTGGCTTCAAACATTTTCTTTCCAGGAGGCAGGGATTGATTTACTGGGATATTCTGTCTACCTGCATTTATGACGCTGGATATTTAGCTGTCCCCAAGTGGTACTTTGAAAAGTAAATAGTCAAACATCATTTCCATTCTTTTTGTCCTCCTAGCTATAATAATCAAAATCAAAATTTCCAGAGGGATCATTATTTTAGTCAACACTGACTTCCCATAACTACAGTCCATATCTAAGATTAATACATATTAGTTGGAAGAACTAGTTTTACACTGATACAAACTTGACTAGTTGAATATTACAGAGTTCAACTAAGAACACCAATTCTTAATGCCTTAAACTTAATTAGCCAAATGGCCCAAACCTCTGAATGTAAGCCCTAAGGTTGATAGGCTAAAAGCTTTAAATCACAGAGGTTTAAAGGAAAAACTAGACTTTTATGATATCCGTGAATCAAAAAAACTTTACATACAAAGGAAAATTCTTACTTGGCTGGCTATAATTCAACACTGACATGATCGGGCTAATATCAGCACCGACTCCATATCTAACCAGAACTTGATTTTGGCCAGGATTGAGATTCTGTTCTTGGCATTTCAGCTTCAATTGCTTCCTTAAAGATAGTTTCTCTGGTCTCTGTTCACTTTCCCTAGCAATCCCTAAAAGTCAGAAATATATCACAATTTGTTACATAATAATCTAGAGTAATACCAAAACTTTGGTTACTTTAGAAAAGTTAATAATTGCAAATACAAGACACTTTGCTGAACCTGTATATAGGTAATACATATCATCCAGGGCCTCAAGACTTTTATTACAACCACCGATGAACACAAGAACACCACCCTTAAACGGGTCTAAACAGTCACCAGCCACAGAAAATCTAGCAGAAGGACCATTGTTTGTAGTTGTAACATTTGTCCAAATACCAGTATCTACACCCAATCAGAAATGAAAGATGATGAGAGGAATACCATCTCAATATTGATAAACAAAACATGATTTATGCCACCACTTTCAGAACAGCAAACAAGAATTGATTACTTAAATTAACTATGTCTTTCTAACAAACGATAAATTACCAGGAATAAAATAGTCACTAAGACAACAATTTTGAAAAAAGTTGGAGCAAGTGACCCTTTAAAAGCTAAAATGACAAATGTGAAATTCTCATGAATCTCATCATCAATATGATCAAATATCTTCTCAGCAATTGAGAAAAGGATGTTGCGCCAATGAAATGTGTAGGAAAAAAAAAGGCTGTTAAAAGACACTATCTGGCACATCCACCTTTGCCCCATGAGTGTTAAATCCTCTACTAAGAAGGCAAGAAGTGTGATGAAAAAAAGGAGCAGTTACACTCACTAAGTTTCTGGTTTTCTTAACCTGTTAAACCACAGTATAACATGAACAAAAAAACACAAAAACATGTTGTATAAGCTATATTGAACATACCAACATCAAGCATATAAAGGTCATTGTAAAGATTTTGGGCATCTGTAAATCCACCAAATACAAACAAGTTCTTGCCGAATGAAACTGTAGAATGACCAGCTCGAGGCGGCAATAATTGGCCTGATGTACTCAGCTCCCTCCAAATTAGAGTATCTAAATTTTACAGAAGTTCCAAAGAAAATTGATAAATACCCTTTTACTATGCATTATTAATTATAAATTGTAATACAAATAGAACAATTATTAACACAAACAGAAGATAAAACAGCGATACCGGCATCAAGGATATGGACATCAGACAAATAATAATCATGTCCATCTTCACCCCCTATCACAATAATTTTGTTTTTCCAAGATGAGCAAGTGTGGCTATCACGAGGAGATGGTGGAGAGCCTGATGTTGTAGCAAACTTCCAAACAAACGTCTCTACAAGTGAAAGAGCGAAAAGGAATGATCAGCATATTCCACATCTGATCCATTAATCAAAAGCAACAGACAAATGTCCAATGCAAATGTAAATGAAAGAGGAAAATAAATAGAAAACCAACTAAGATGTTCAAAAGCTCAGCCTTTAAGTACTCCAAACCCAGCATCCCTACTTCTTACTGAGTAAGCAAACCATAGCTCTCTCATTTCATTCACATTTCAAGATTGAAATTATAATCAGCCTCTACAAGCACGCCATGCAGTATGACTATTCCAAGTTCTAACAAGTGTTTTGAAAAATAATTAACAAGATAGGAAATCCTAGTCAATTTCATTTATAAATTGTGTAGCAAACTAGCTTGATCAATAACTGGCAGTATTATAGAGGAAAATCACCTGTATTCAATATGTAAAGATCATTGTAGTAGACCTCATTATTATTATCTGCAGATTTTCCACAACCACCAAAGATGAATAGCCGTTTGCCAACAACTGCTGCACTATGACCTTCACGTGCTTCTGGCCCTTCTCCTCTTATAGTTGGAGAAATCCATGTATGTGAAGCTAAAATGATTTAACATCAGTGAATCAAATAGTAAAGAGACAAAGAGCATGTAACTAGGCGTAGCTGCTAATATTTTCAGATTTTAACTTTAGCAGTAGTTTTCACAATCGTCATCCAAGAAAAGTGCAGGACCAGAACTGTACAGGCTATACATAGACCATTCAACTTCAACTAAACACCATAAATTTAGGCTTTTGAAGGCAAAATGGGTATAGAAATTAGGCCAACAAACTCATATAGATATCAGAAAGATGACTCACAAGTGTCTAATATGTGCAAATCCTTCAGTGGGTTCATCCCATCTGTACCTCCAAACACAAATAGATTATCCCCAATGGCTGTGCAAGTATGGCTGTCCCTTGGAGTAGGTGAGGATCCTTTTATAGCTGGTTGGCTCCAAGTCTGCTTGACTGCAAATCAGCAACCAGGATTGAGAAAACAAAGAATACCCACATTATCTTGCCAGAGTACTAGAACAAATGCATAAAAAAAATCAAAGGCCAAGAACAAAAGTATAAAATAATGTAATACACACTGGTCACTACAACATCAGCTACAAAACAAGTATCAATTTTTCAGTTCCACATCCGTTTCAAAACCTATAAACAGAAAAACAAATTTGGAAAGAGACTATTTGGCTCAAAATAGAAGAGCTTTTGTTCAACTAAAAAAAAAAACTATAAGGCCTCAAAAAATCATGATAATAAATAAAAAAATACAAAACTCTAGAAAAACATGAGCTTTTAATAGGAATCATGACAGCATGCAACCAGAGCAAAAATGCTAACCGATATGTCAAGAATCTGCCATCGAATAATAAAAAATGGAAAGAAAAAAAAAATAGAGAGAAAAGCACTACTGCAATAAAAATATTACTACCCGGATATTGAAAAAATTTCAAAAATTCTTCTCAGAAGAGAAAGTAAACAACAATGCCAAATCAAGGTGCCATAAATTCCAGACAAACATATAATATGATTTAAAAATAAAAATAAAAATTGGGAAACAGAAGAGAAATAGAAGCAGAGCGAAGAGTGAACCCACCAGTGTCAAAGACATGGACTTGGTTGGTCTGACAGTTATGTTTGCCGTAACCACCGAAGACATAGACAAGTCTTCCACCTTTAATAGCGTTGCAGGTGTGTCCCCACCTCTTCCCTGGCCCACAAACCTCACTTTGTCCTCCTCCTCCTCCTCCTCCTCCCTCTATGGCTATGGGGTTCACCTGAACCTTTTCCCACCTCATTTTCGAGAATACAAAGGAACCAATTTGCTGAGGAAAACTCACCACCCCCCTAATAAAATAAAATTAAAAACAGAAACTTTCTCTAATTTTTTAATTCGAAATATGGGAAAGAAGAAATGGGGGTGGGAAATAAGCGAAGGTAAAATCAAATCAGAGAGAAGATTTGGCATGCAAATAAGAAAAATATAATAAAAAGTGTCATATCACAGAGAGAGTGAAACCTGTTTTGCTGATAGAGCCGAGGCCAGTAAAAATATAAAATAAAAAATCCAATCTGAATAGGGAGTGAGTGAATCTGATTAGGGACGAGTCTTAATGTAACACGTGGGAAATTTAATGTCGTCCGATCAGAAAAATGTGAAACGTGGCATCTGTAATAGTTGTTGGATTTATGGTTTGTTTCTTCTCATTGTTTTTTTTTTTTTCTGCAACTTTCTCTTCTTTCTTTTTTAGGTTTTTTTCTTGTTTCTTTGGAGGGATTAGTATTTTTTATTTTTTATTTTTTTATAAATCACGGATATTTTTTACATGAGACAATCATATTCGAAATTGGTTTAAATTTAAAATTTTAAATCTCTCCCAAAATAATATTGGAGAGGATCGTATTTATCCTTTTAAAATATATAAAATTATAATATTTTATGCTGAGAGAAAGAATTATACAAAAAAAAAATCATGTTGAAAAAAAATTAATTTAAATATTAAATAAAGAATAATTGTTTTAACTAAAATAATTATTCTTTAAGAAGATACATATTTTTCTAAGGGAGCGTTTGGTTGAGGAAATTTTTTTTGAATACTAAAGAAATGTAATTGATAGGAAAATGGTTGAAAAATGAGTTTGGTAGGAAAATGTAAAAAAAGTTGTTTGTTTAGAAAAAAATTAAACCCGGCAAATTAGGTAAGATTTATAAAGTCTATGTTTGGTTTGAGGTAAAATATAGATAGGAAAATAACTTCAAATTACAAATATAATCTCATAAAAAAAGTGAAACCTTGGCATTTTAGACGAGAGTATTTGAGTCTACTAGTAGGTTGCTTTTTTGCCATTTAGCTAGCTAAATGTAAAATACCATCTTCAAGTTGTCTTTCTAAATAGTAACTTTGTCTTGCTTTCTATTCTATGAACAAATAAGAAATGCTACGCAAATACAATACATAGAAATTTTTTGTAAAACCTTCTACCAAACATTGCTTTCTTACTTGCCAATTTTATTTGCATAGGTAAATTTTAAAAAATCTTCAACCAAACACCAGAGAAAAATAACTGAGAAACTGATAATGAAAGGAAACTTGCTCCGTCTTTGATTATTATTTTTTAATATTACTCTTCGTCCCTCATGCAACATTTGTTTAAGCTTAAAGTTCGTAATGTTAATTGAAATTAATTGGTTAATTATATGTAAGGTGGAGGAATTCTTCAATGTTGTCAAAATAAAAAGTTTCGTGATCTATGATAATGCCTATCAATTATTTCTTATTTTTACTTTTTTCAATGTACAACTAATGTGATATACATTTTTTACTCACACAAAAAAAAATCTTTTTATAAGGGCAATTAAAATTCTCTCGTTTGATTATGTCAATATAAGTATACTAAAAAATAAAGATAAATAAAAAATTATATTATATGATATAACATAGCTTTCCTAATTCCTATACACACTTGAGAAAAGAGAGGAGAAATAAAAATCAAGTGATGGGACCCACAGAAAATTATGTGTGTAGAAAAGTTATGTTATATCATGGAACATAACAAACATAAAAACCAAAAAATAAAGATTTTAGTAATGAAATATTTTAGGAAAATAAAAGTGTCATATTATATGATACAACTTCTTTTTCCTACACACTCTAAAGATGTGGGACCCACTTCAATTTTTTTTCTTTGCAATAGGACCCACAATATTTATGTGTTTATGACATGACACAAAAAATCTCATGCAATATTATATTCATAAAACCCAGATGAAATTCAAAACTCATAGGAGGCATCTGGTACAGGAGAAAAAAAAATTTACATGAGAAATACAATTACTAGGAATATAATGGGAAAGTAATTTTGGTAGGAAAGTTAAAAAAAAGTTATTTGGTAGGCCAAAATATTACCGAAAAAATTAGGTTACATTTTCTGAGTCTATGTCTGGTTGAAGGTAAAATATTGATGAGAAAATGGAATAAAATTACCAAACTAACTATTGACTAAATACAAAGAAGACTCTCTCTTCATCTTTCTTTTGACATGTTTTTTGAGAAGGAATATTTGTGGCCATTGCTTTTTTTCTACTTTTTGGTTTGATAGGAAAATGAGAATACCATCCTCTGAAGTGTAAAATTTTACACACAAACTGAGATTGTTATACAAATTCAAATGATAGACAAATTTCTTAAAATCTCCTACCAAACATACTCAACTAAAAAACTCATCTCAACTTTTTTAGTTATCCTAAAATAAACCTCTTACCAAACACGTCCTATTTATTTTTGAAATATATGTGCTTAACATTTCAATATTTGTTTTGACTATTCGTCGAATGAACACCCTAAACTGTTTTACATAGCGAGAACACAACTCTTTGGGTCTTTGAGAATTTTATAACCTATAACTTCGCTTTTTAAAATATGTGCTTAACATTTCAATGTTTGTTTTGACTAGATCTTTTTCATTTATAGGTAGCTTAAAAAAATTACCTTTGTTATCAAAAAAAAAAAAAAAAAAAAAAAATTACCTTTGATCCTATTAATAATGTATAGAAATGTGATTTTTAAGTAACTGAAAGAAGATTTCCTGTTAGAAAGCTGTGATTCAGTCAAATTAAATTGATTAAATAAATTTAACTCTAACATAAGAATAAAAAATATTACTCAACATGTCAATCGTTGATTTTATTTAATAATTAATAATTAATTAACAAGCATAAAAAAATAATACTTTTTCTTTCTTACCCTCCCCCCATATAATGCGATTATTTAGTTGTATTCAATATATGAACATCCATCGATCCATTATTATCCTTCTGTAGAATATAATACGGTGTTAACAAATTACTTTTTTAGATGTTAAAGGGGTTATCATGTTTCATTGTTAGATGATAAATGGTTAATATTTCTTTCGAAAAAAATTCTGTCATTTTAAATTAGAAAAAAAGATACACAATGAAAATCATAAAAAGAAAAATGTAAGATTTGTTTTTAAATTTTAAATAAAATAATCACCCTTTAAAAGAACAAACATTTCCCCCAAATAAAATATCTTTTTAAAAAAAAAAAACCTAAAAAACAAACACTAAATTTTTGTAACTAATATGTGCTTGTAAAGCAGCCTAGTACTGTTAGCAATTCAAATTTAACCCAATAACTTCACAACAATAGATAACATCAACGACTCATTCAATAGTAATAAGCAAATAAAAATTCCGTTTTGCAGAGGTATGAAAAAGGATTTAGAATCTTCCTTTCCGAACTCGTGCCCAAGCTATGGCTGCAACTGCCGCACCCCCTAAATGTGCAGATCCTGATATTCTAGTGTCTCCCTACAATTTGAAAACCATTAAATATTTTTAATAATTCCTCCTTGGAATGAACAGGGAGAAGTGGAGTTCAAAAGATAGTATCTTTAGGATAGGCAGGCCTCAATTAATTCGCTAGACACAAAGGTGATGACAAACATTACAATGTATCGAAGTGATTATATATATATATATATATATATATATATATATATATATATGTGTGTGTGTGTGGGGAAGATTATATTTATAAACTTTTTGTTTACAAACTCTTACAAACTACACTAAGATATGACCGGTCATACCTTAATCAAGAGTGTATGACCGGTCATACTTAGTGTAATTTGTAAAAAAAGTTTATAAACAGATCATTTCCATATATATATATATATATATATATATATATTATATCTTCATTCCTTTTTTTCCTATCCAGCCATGCATAGAAAAGAGGATTAATCTCTGCAGACGACTAAGGCGTTAACTAAAGTTTGAGGAGGAAAGGTGGCGGTTTCACTGAAGAGGTCTAAGGCATCAATATGGTAACAAAAAAGTAGTGGTTTATACAGAAATTGCATAACATAGGACAGACCTACTGGATGGCATAAATTTGATAACATTTTGTAGAAATTATTTTGATGCCATTGAACCAGTAGTTAGAACTTAGGACTATGGCATTTGATCATTTCTCTAAAACTAAGCTACTCAAGATGGATAATGCTATGAAAATTAGTAAACACAAAATAAGAAGCTTGAGAAAGTCCACCATACCGTTTTCATCCTCAGCATATCTTTCCAAATCAAGAAGATGCCCTTAATTACAATAATTTATAAGACAAAAGAAAAGGATATGTGAGTATCCACGTTATAAAAGTCATAGTTTTGAACCAGCACTAGGTTGAGAAGAGCTTACAAACAAGATTGCAGGAATAGGTAAAAAAAATTCCAAGTAAAGGGTTGCTTTTGGAAAGAGGAATATGTCAAGCAGCATAACTGCATTCAAAGCTCCACTTGCCCCCTAATCATTAGCAAGTTTTAGTTAAATTAATATCAGACAGTGACTTTAAGCAATGTCACTAGTGATACAATACAAGCAAATAGTAATTTTCAATGCCTAAGCAAAAAATAACTAGATAATCTAACTATAATTCGATAGAAACAATTTTAACTTTTCAAGAAAAAATTGAAGAAAATAGACATTTCCCGCAACTAGGAGAACTTAATAGTCTAATGGTCAGCATATACTTGATTAATAATGACAGGCGATGACAAATATCTACATAACGGTGTGTGCTACAAAGGTACTAGAAACAAAGTTTGGAACCCAAAATGGAATGAAATCATCAACTACATTGAATCTTACACCAGAAAGGAACATTCTATCATGCCATGCTAAGTACCCATGATATATTTATTACATTTATGTAGTAACATCCTCTTTCATTTAATTTCTGGATAGAAAGATCTTCAAGGAAATCAAAAAAGATTAAAAGTAGATATAATTCCTTGAAAACGCATTGCACATCAAAAACGTAGTTGACTAGTCCCACCAAGAACATCCGTTATCACAAAACACGGTCTATATTCCCTGAAGAATAGGAGTTAATTATAGAATAGTTACTAAAAGCTTACCATCAACGGGTTCATGAATCTCCAGCCCTGTTGCAAACAAAATGCAGAGAAACGTTAAAGCTCACTGAAAAATGTTTAAGTTCAAACCAAGACGAGAATAAGTATTTACTTTTGCTTATATGTTAAAGAAATTTATCACTAGTCACCTTAGGCACAAAATATGTTTATTACCATTTGTATACTATGTTAAAACAATCCCTTTTTTTTTCTCTTTCTCAGTCTTCCTTTCAAAATGCTCAATTATGGATGTTACTTTTGAATCATATGTACTCAACATTTCTTAAGAAAAAATTTAGCTTTTAAAGATTCAAGTTACAGGTATATCAAAATGAAAGTAAAATCTAGAAATTCATATATGAATAGGTTGTGATTGAATAATTAGCATATTAATTACTAAATTTTCTAGTTGCTAAGTTAGGCTTGACAGGGACCTTTGATGTTTGTGCCTCATAGGCTTGATGCACAAAGTAAAAAACAGAACCACCCACTGCCCCAGCAAGATACAGCTTCAGCAGAAATTCAGGTCCAAAATTTCTTCCAATCTGCCCATAGCCCAATGGAAAAAAAGTTAAAAGAGTAATGGAACAAATATTCGTTAAAGAAAAGAAGCTTGAAAGAAGGAAATTTATCTATTAAGTGATGGTATCTGACTTAAGCTAAAATTCTTAGCAAGCCAAGCTATATGTTAATAACAAATAATTAAATCCACATTTACTGGGTGTGACAAAAAGGAAAGGGGGACGAAAAAGGCATTACATAAACAAAAAATATTTTAGGAAACCAACAGAAATCAGTCCCACAAGTTTTTTAAGGGACTCATTAAACTACAAATTCAATTTCCAAAGTGTTGGGTTTTTCCTCCTTTTCCTTTTGCCTTTCCCTACAATCTTTTAGAAAAGGAAACACTGCTGACTGCAGTTCCTAAATTTCAACCTAAACACATAGATAGCAAGAAACTATAAACTGAATGAGTCCTAATTTACTAATCACAATGGGTACATAAGACTATAAAACTATAAAAAGACAAATATGAAACTTAAGGCATATCCAGTAATATAACTGAAAACCGAAAAGAACAAATGAAATGGCATAATACAACACGATATATAGTAGATATAAGATTAAAAGATTTATATTTATTATATTCAAGGTATTTATTTATAAGTGACATAAACAAATTTCAAGAGACCGAAAATCTGGAAGTGTCACACGAATGCACAAGCCTAATAATCTAGCAAAGCCTAAGAACTTCAATATATGATATGTTTCTTCTCAAAACTATTTCCTTTCCGAGAATTCAATATCTGACTCAATTTCATAAAAATGTGACAAATTATTCTTTGCTTTAGGTTAATGTCTATTGTCTACACACCAACCCAAACAATATATTAGTTGATACATATATAAAAAAGAAAAGGAGAAGATAATGAAAAAAGAGACGAGAGAAATAATGACCAAAAATACAATTCAAGAACGGGCCACCGCACATTCATTCCAAAGAAGTAGAGCCCAAGCATGTTGAAAAATAGATGCGGGAAATCTATGTGACTGAAAGAACTGGTAATCAAAGTATGCAAACGTCCACTCTTAAAATTGTCGAAAGAGACCTGTTCACAGAAAAAAATTGGATTAGCAGTCTTGATAAGTTAAATCCAAACAGACAATAACATTGAGACAACCCATTTCCCAACTCCATCTTTCAACAATTGGTAAAGTGCCAGACCATCATCACTGTAAGTTTGATGAAATCTATACAATGTGTTTCACAGTATCTCCAACAAATAAACTTCAACTTGAAAATTAGATATTATGGCTATTACGAATTATTTGAAGCCTCAAAAACCTTGTATTTTCTCTCTCTATCCTCAACAAAAATAAGAAACTGGAATGAAAAGTCCATAGTTATACATCACACGACTATAACACTATCTCGTTATGAAGAATTTCCGACGAAACTTTTAATACACCGACAACACAGGTGGGAGTGCCATAAAAAGCAAAGGTCAAGTAAATAATATCTACAATTACAAGCGGCATCATCAAGTTGATCAAATTTATAAATAAAGAAACTCACAGTAAAGTTTTTTATCATAAACTCTTCATCTGCTATCTTCCATAATATATAAACAGCAATGTTAGCTACAATCAAGCCCGAAACCATGTCAGAAGGTGTTAGCCTCTGGAACCATGATCTCCTGCAAACAGGAGAAAAAATATTATTGACATGACCATATTATATGTAAACCATCTAAATATGTTTACTAAAAATCATGGCTTTTGTACATAGCATTACTAGAGGTAATTTTTTTATTTATATGCCCTGATTGAAGAAGAGTGAGAAGAAAATTCAGAGTTTCACCAGCATAAAGCATAAACATTTCACCAGAGAAACAACAATAATTTTGTGCATAATTATCTACCATTTCCAATTTGATTTACAGGCACAATGAAGATGCAAGAAGACTGCAATATATTACAAGTCCAGTAACGAAAAGTTGCACATCATATAAAAAGGGTTGAAACTTGAAAATAGCAATAAAATGTAAACAATCAAGATTTCACGGTAGAGATGCAAGAAATAGAAGAATAGGAAGGACGAGCTACAATGCATAAAACATTTTAACTTTAGTATAATAAAGCACATGTAAATACTAATAAGCACAAGAATTAAGTGACGAGACTTGAAATTGTCAAATTTGACACTCAGAAGGTATTGGCCTTCATGCTGCACATTGTATGCTTAATTCTTCCATAAATAGCAAGTAGTTACAAACACTTTTAATATTGATAAAAAAAATAAAGTTTGAAAAATTGATTTTTCAATTTACAGGATTTAAAGAGTGAATTATCTCGTCTGAATAGGCAACAACTAGTTTAGAAAAGTTCTTCTGTAATGGTGAGATGAACTGAGATTTCCAAGAATGCATAACCATGTAATGTTTCAGTACTGTTAGGCTAACATATATAGAAATTCAAATTTCGACGTGGAAAACAAACCAGAATAGTATAAGCCTGTGCAACTGCAAACAAGTAATGCATTGCAACCCTAATCCTAGAAGCAGTGAGAGTAACCATAAGAATTTAAAAACCAAGAAAGTGAGACATGTAGCATAATCTTAAAATGATAATGTGATATCACTCATTCACTCACATTATCAAGGTGATTTACGGGGAAAAAAAACTATTTCCTTTTGTGGAGGGGGAAGATAACTGGAAAGAATATCAAACAAAAGTCTACATGTTAGTTGCTCACATTTATAAGAAACGGTAAGTTCTCTCTAACAAGTTGTCAAAAAAAAGGTTATTACTTATTAGTGATTGAACACTTTTTGGTATAGGTGTCAAAACTATAAAAAGCTTTCTCTCTCTTTTAGCAACATTTTCTTAAATATGATATCATTAATTATAACGAGGATAACTCAAAATAGTTATTGCTAGTTGCTACTTCATTAATGCTCCTGCAGTAATTTCACAATGAGGAGTGAATGTAAAGAAACACTTCAACCCAAAACCTTAAGGTGTTGGGTGAGAACCTTTTTAATGGTTTATATTATTCTCTAACACCCCCTCACGCAAGAGCCCTTTGAGCTTGAAGCATGAGTATTATATAGGCCTGATTTTTGGTTTACCTTGTGCTTATTTTAATTCCACTAGAAAGTGGAGGGGCGGTGAAAATCGAAATCGTGACCTTGTGATCACTGAAGCTTTGATACCATGTAAAGAACCATATCAACCCAAAACCTTAAGATGTTGGGTGAGGGTCTTTTTAATGGTTTATATTATTCTCTAACAGTGAAACTGATTTCAAACCCTCAAAATTTTACTTTTGGCAAGAAAAACAGTAGCAAGGATAGGTTACTCCAAAACTCAGTTAGGGCGCTAGTGTCATGACTTGGACTGATGACCCCAAGAGGGATTACTAGTCAAAGGTTCACCCAAGGGGGAGATTTGAAACCACGCACATGGGGAGTAAGTGGGAGGGGGTTCCTAAAGAATCTGATTCTTAATCTATGACACTTCCAAACGCAATTACAAAACATGGTTAAAACTAAATGGCTCCACTTGAACTTTAAAGTGTCTTCTATCAGACTGTCACCAATAAATGAAGGCTCGTGCAAGCCCCATTATTGGAGGAAATTCCTAATAAAGCCACGAAAGCTTTACGTACGATCACAAGAAGCAATGCATAGAATCATCAGTATAGAAATTGGTCAAATCAAAGCTAAAAAAATTACATATTTTTGGTACGACGACCCAAATGACCATTGAATAACGAAGTAAAATCAGACATGTAATATGTACTCTAGTTCTCTCTCTCACACACACACAAAACAAACAAAAAAAAAAAAAACAAAAAAAAAAAACAGAAGCAAAAATCTCATAAACCCTGATTAAACCTCAGTCAGGGTGAAAATGAGAATTGTTAACCTCAACCTAAAACAAAAAACATGAACCAGTTATGATGTTCATTTCATTTATAATCTGACGGAACATTACCAACCACGCCGCCGGTAAAAATCATAATTTTGGTAGAAAATGAAGCTCAGGCGAGAAAAATGAACTATGGGAAGGCTGGGCCTGCAATCTAGAAGGCTTCTGGCGGAGATCCTCTGGAGAGCATTGCGCGAGTTCAACGCGAACTGCTGCTGCACGATCATTGGTTGGGAGAGAAACCCGCGAATTTTGGTCGAAAGGTTGTGATGGGAGGGCCATGACTGAAAATGACGACGAAGTGGGTGAGTGAGAAAAGAGGGAGAAATGTTGTAATGCCCTAACTCTAGTTTGGGGATAGAGGATAAGGGGATGTGAGAATGAGTGTTGAAGATACGTTGAGAAAGATTGGGTTGGTGACGATGATGATGGTGTGTGACTAGTTTGCGAAGAAAGCTCTGCATCTTTTTTTTTATTTTATTTTATTTTTTTTGGGGTCAGCCTCACAGGGAACAAGGAGATAGGTAAAAGATTTGTTTAAATTTATTTTGCTGTTTGGTGTATTTTTTGTCATGAACTCATGGCCATTTTTTGATTTGGGTTATAAAATTTTTGGGAAAGTAATTCATAAGAATCTTATGAAATATTTTCTGTTTTGAATTATTTTTATGAACTTTCCTATCGTGCTAAACCGTTTCATTCATGTATTAAATATGATAGTATCTCATTTATTGAAATTAAATTTGAAAATAAGTTGATTCCTTTAATAAAATTAAAAAGAAACAAGAAAATTGAATCAAAAAGGGGGTTGGTAGACTTTAAAATAATAATATAGGTGAAATGAGACATTGCCAGGTATATCACATTTTTATTTTGACAAATTTTCTTATTTGCAAGCTTTATTATAATTATTACGTCGCACTAGGAAATAACAACTTTTACTACATATACACCAAAGAGGAGAGAGAAAATGAGATGAGAAGGAAAAAAAAAATACGTGGATCCATTTTTTTTGTTGTGTTTGCGGGACTATTCTAATTTTCGTTTAACATAATATTTATAAAACCTTTATTATAAATACTCTAAAAATTAATAAAGTTGGGGATAGTGTGCGTACATCTTTGTTTTTAATCTAATGTCATTATTAAGAGTGTTAATGGGTCAAGCGGGCCGAGTTTTGATCTTAAAAAGTTAAGTTTGTGTTTAAAAATATCAAACTGGCCTAATCTGTAACTTGTTATGAATATTTCTGTTTTGAATTATTTTTATGAACTTTCCTATAGCATTAAATGGTTCCATTCACATATTAAACATGATAGTATCTCATTTATTGAAATTAAATTTGAACATAAGTTGATTCCTTTAATAAAATTAAAAAGAGAAATGAATCAAAAATGGAGTTGGTAGACTTTAAAATAATAATATAGGTGAAATGAGATATTGTCAGGTATATCACATTTTTGTTTTGACAAGGTTTCTAAGTTGCAAGCTTTATTATAAGGGTTGTATAATTATCATGTCGCATTAGGAAATAACAACTTTTTCTACGTATACACCGAAAGGGAGAGAGAAAATGTGATGAGAAAAAATTATGTGAACCCATTTTTTCGTTGTGTTTGCGGGACTATCCTATTTTTTGTGTAACATAATATTTATAAAATCCTTATTATAAATACTCTATAGTTTAATAAAGTTGGGGATAGTGCGCGTACATTTTTATTTTTAATCTAATATTATTATTAAAGGTGTTAATGGGCCAAGTGAGGCCGAGTTTTGGTCTTGAAATTTTAAACTTGTATTTAAATATATCAGACTGGCTTAATCTGTAACATCTTATGAATATTTCTGTTTTGAATTATTTTTATGAACTTTCCTATCGCAATAAACCGTTTCATTCACGTATTAAACATGATAGTATCTCATTTATATAAATTAAATTTGAAAATAAGTTGATTCTTTTAATAAAATTAAGAAGAAAATTGAATCAAAAGGGGGATTGGTAGACTTTAAAATAACAATATAGGTGAAATGAGATATTGTCAGCTATATCACATTTTTGTTTTGACAAGCTTTATAAGTTGCAAGCTTTATTATAAGGGTTATATAATTATTATGTCGTTGTAGGAAATAACAACTTATCATCAAAGGATTTCAATAAAAAGATAACATATTGGATTAAAAAATTACTAGCCATTAAATCCTGATGTGTGAAGAAAATTACTCGCCATAAAAAAGGATATGGTTTGATTAAAAGAAAATTAAAATCACATCCCACATTCTCGTGATAATGTGGTGAAGAGAACAGCACTAATTGTTTGTACTTGTAGACACAGCCTGAAATTTCAAGCATCTCTTGTGAGGATTTAAAATCTTGGTAGTTACTCATTTCAAGTGGAGAAAAACAGAATACTTAATCCAAGGAGGTCTTTAGACTAGAGGGGAGGGGTAGTTAACGACCATTATCCACAATTTCTTGCTAAATAGTAACACTTTCAACTGTGATAGTGAGGGCCTCCTAAGGAACTTGTTCCTCAAACTCAAAAGTATCATGTGCCCCCTCTCCTCAACGTGGTAACAGTTATTCATAATTTGCTAGACAGAGACTAGATTTCGGCTTTCGTTGTTGTTTGTAGTTGTCTCCTGACTAAAGCAGTATACACACCATCCTTGTTGAGAAGTTCATCATGTGTACCACTTTCAACTACTTGGCCATCAGAAATAACTGCAACAGTATCAGCAGTTTTCACAGTTGATAACCTATGAGCAATCACTAGAACTGTCCTTCCCTTCATGATAGAATCCATGGCATCCTGCAACATACCCATCACATTATTAGTAGCTTATTGAGCAACAAACAAAAGATAAGAAAAAGTTTATATGTTCATGGAACTGGAAAAAAAAAAACACTCCAGAATAATTTGTTTACTCACTTGCACTAGGTATTCGCTTTCAGCATCTAAGGCACTGGTGGCTTCATCCAGAAGGAGAATTTTTGGGTCCATAAGCAGGGCTCTAGCAATTGCTATTCTCTGTTTCTGCCCTCCTGAAAGCCTCACCCCGCGCTCTCCAACAAAGGTCTTGTATTTTTCTGGGAATTTTGATACAAATTCGTGCGCATTGGCCATTTTCTGCATTCAAAATCCATACCAATAATGAGCAAATGAGAGTTGGGAGAGAGGTGTGTCTCATTGGTGAAAGAAGACATTAAATATTACAGCTGCTTTTTCTATATCATCAGGGTTAACTTTGCCATCGAATCCATAAGCTATGTTCTCCTCTATGGAACAGTTGAAGAGTGTAGGCTCCTGACTCACTATACTGATCTGCAAATACAAGACCAAACTGCATTAAATTTGAGTTATCAAAATAACAAAAGAAATTAGATTTTGGAGAGTTCAGTTTCTCTTGTTATCACGGGCATATCATATTAAACCTGTCCCTCACCAAACTAATTTCTCAAACACCAAATTTTACATCTCCAGTATAATGCTTAATTGCATGACAGTTAGACAGGCAAGTATGAAATGTAATAGGCACAAGGTGTGAATTAATATATAGCTTTTCACCTTGAGTTAGGATTATTTCAGGATTCCATCACACACTCAAAATACTACAAGATATACAGGTATCTAGAACTAAAAACATGACACTACAACTACAATAAATTGGGTTAATCGTTGTCAATAGTTTATAAATGTCTTATCTACTGTTTACTACGCACCGAAATGTACTTGTGATGCTAATCTGCTTAAATGTTTTGTAAATATGTAGTGTCCTATAGTGGAAAAGCTGCTGCAGTGCCAACTTCTTAATCCATAGTCCCCGTAGTAAATAGTAATAACAAAAAATTAATTTTCTAGTAATTAATTTTAAGCACAAAAAGAATATGATCAAGATACCTTTCTGTGTAAATGCTTGTGTGATATTTCTACCAGAGGAACCCCATTCAGCGTAATCTTTCCCTTGGTTGGGTCATAAAATCTTTCAATTAAGTTTGCAATTGTAGTCTGCACAAACAAGAAACAAGTTCATGCGCATGATGTTTTTTCCTTTCACTTCACTGTGCTCTCTACCTTTTTATGCTTCAATCCAAGCATGTTAAATAAGAACCTTGTTGAACGATGAGCTGCAAAAATAAACACAGGAAGAAAGGGAAAATAAAGAGAAGATGATCATAAGAGAAAATATGGACTATACCTTTCCCCCACCACTTGGACCAACAAGAGCAACCTTTGAGCCAGGCTGCAGCTTCAGCGAAATGCCCTAAACACGAACAATGCAGTACACTTTCTTTTAATAATTTACAATTGAATTTGTATAACCAGAACAGAAAATTAGAAGGAAACTGCTACCTTGAGCACTGGATGATTAGGGCGTGATGGATAGGAAAACCATACATCATCTAGTTCCACTTCCCCATCTCCATCGCTACAGTAATAGACATTGAATGTCAATTCTCATTTTAATAGATCACTTATATAGAAAAAAATTTAAGCCAAAAAGGGGTATATTTAATTTATGAAATGATTCTGAAATTCACACTATATAATGGAGAGAGTGAAGAGATTCTTATTACTTTTGACTTTCAGTATTCCTGTGTTAGGTTTTCATCCTCTATATCATAAAGTTTCACTTCTCTGTAACACTAAGGAAACAGGGGCCTGTCTAGAAGTGTCTAAATATTGCAAAGACTATTTCATAATGAGCCACTAATCACTTTTTCATCGACAATTCAGGATTTGAATGCAGAATTAGGACACTGGAAAGTCTTTGGTACAAGAATCCAACACTAGAGCCCTTCATCCACATCCTAGACTAGGTGTGGTCCAGGATGGTAAAATACTAAACTAGTAGAAACGGAGAAAAACTCTCTAAAAATAGCACTTAAAGGTTGAGTTTGAAGTATGTTGAGGGAAAACTGTAAAAAACCAATTCAACCCAAAAACTAGAGCTATTGGGTGAGGCCACATTAATGGTTTTTACATATCAAACACGCCCCTTCACACGAGAACCCACTGGGCTTGAAGGGTGGACAATGCACAAGCCCATCTACCTGTGCTAAGAAATTCCACAAGAGAAAATAGAGCGGCGGTGAGGATCAAACTCGTGACCACTTGATACCATGTAAAGAACCAATTCAGCTTAAAAACTTAAGCTATTAGGTGAGGCTACATTAATGGTTTTTATATATCAAACAAAAACACATCAGAACAGTACAAGCAAAGGTGATTTGGTCACAGGGCAATTTTTTGGTGGTGTTAGTTGTTTGATGAACAATACACAAAACTAACAATTTTGTGATATCATGGACAGAAAAATGCAAAATTTATTATAATAACCTTTTATGTTATGCATTGTTTTGCACGTAATAAAGCAGGGATAATGATAAGTTAGGGATTATTGGTCTTTTTCCCTTTTCATGTTGTGGACAAGATTTTGTAACTTGGTATAGTGGGTAACAAAAAAGTAGAAATTTGTGCAGTCCTTTGAATTACTTTCTGTTCAGTACTTATACTATTTGAACAATCAAACAAGGTACAATTTTTCTGTGCCTTGTTTTCCCTTATTTTATAATAAATCAAACGAACGCATAAATATATTTTAAATCTAGAAAACTGACCCCAGAGGACATTCATTTCCCGACACAGGCATGGATGAGACACGATCCATAATTTGAAATACTCTTCTGCTAGCACCTGCAGCTTTCATAACTACTGTGTACAACCCTGACAGACCAGATATAGAAGATCCCACTACAAGGCAGAGTAATTGAGTCAATATAAACACAAAACTGGCAGATCAAATACAACAGATCCAGCTTACCACTGAAATAAATTAATAAAGCAAAACAAGTAACATCCTAATCATCTAATAAGGAATATCCATGGATCATATATTTTCAATTGTGAATATTATTATACAGGTTTCATTCACATGTAAAAAGGTAAAATAGAAAGAGGAACTTACCCGAGAGACTATAAAGAATGAAAGATGTAAGATCGCCTGAGGACATGGAACCCTTGATTGTCAAGTTAGCTCCATATATAACAACTACAATAACTGAAAGTGTAGATGCTGCATTAAGGCCTCCAGAAAAGAGTCCAACAACTTTCTGCAAGACCAAGCAAATAAGATTAAATGTTGTAAAGGGAAACAAATAAATTTACACAAAAGCAGATAGATCAAAATATAAATGACTAACTCACAGCTTGTTTAAGTCCAAGCTTAAGTGTCTCATCGACTTTCTCAGAGTAGCGTGTTATTTCATAATATTCTTGGGCAAAAGATCTTACTGTTCTTATTGCACCAAAGGATTCCTAAGCAACACAGACAAAATTAATATCAGTTTAAATATCTTCTCCTATGATATCTGTTTAATGGGAGATACATACCTCAGCAATTGAAGAAGCTACTGCAGCTGCTGCTTGAGTTTTATGAGAAAGTTCACGCAGGAAACGGCCAAATTTACGAACAGCAACAGAAATAACAGGTACAACAGCCAAAGCCAACACTATATGTTGTCAAGAGAGAGAGACAAGTTAGGATAAACACATAAAATGTGTGCTCGTGTGTGTATGTGTATTTCATGAAATAAAACTCCAATGTTTAATTACTGACATGTTAACTTCCATGATGTTGCAAACATGAAGCTAAGACCAATAAATGCAGTTGATAAGTTTCTCAGGGCCTCGGAAAGATTGGTAGTTGCAGCATTCTTTATGATCTGTGTATCTTCAGATAGCCTACTTAAAAGTTCCCCAGTTCGAGTAACATCAAAGAAGGCTATCTCCTGAAAACTCATCATCCATAATAAACAAGTTTTTATTGTTAGCTAACTAGCCAAGGGTAATTACAAGCTTGAAGATTGAAAATTTCTACTCTTCAAGTGACAAAAAGTAACACAAACAAAGAAAAACAATCCAAGAGTCAATATGATAATATTGTTTTACCTGGTTTACAAGGTGACTGAACAAATTCTTTCTCAGCCGTGCAACAACCCTTTCACTAGCAGAAGAAAAAAGCCAAGCTCGAAGTGCTGTGCAAACTGAACTGTAAAATTGAGAAAACTCAGTGAACCACTTGGGATCCCAGAAAATTTACGTGACAGATCAGAAATCATGACTACAACCAAATAAAAATGTATCATCAATTGGAGAATAATCAAGCAAGATCATACCCAATAACAACAATAAGAGAGATTTCTAGTATGGTGCTCTTGACAGCATTCAAAGCTTTGTCTTTATCCTCAGGAGTTCGCAGATCCCCTGAGACAATGTCGATTATATTCCCACCAAATTTTTGCTGCAGCAGGAACATTTCCATGTTCATTAGAAAACAGCTTTAACTTTACATCTGGCGATGTGGCAGCAAATAATATAGTTACATGCTAACATAATTTTCAATGTGTGCGTGCGTGCTTGTATAAATTGTGCGCGTGTGAGAAAGAGGGGGAGAGAGTAAATTATGCATACAACTAAGATACTTGTTGTGGCAGCAACCAACAGAGCCACGGTACCAATCACCAACTTTCCAGCCTCAGGCTTTGCCTGCAATTAGTTAAAAAAACAGAAGCAACTTTAATGATCACAAAAATATGTCACCAATTAATCCAAAGAAAAAACTAGCCACTTACAAGTGAAAACACCCGAAAGAATCCCACATTTGCCGCCTGAAATTTTCATTCATAAAGTTAGCAATTGCACCTGTACTTACTAATATATTATGCTTTGAGATGTTATAGAGAGATATAAAAGATGTATGAATGAAAATTACCGGCACTGCATCACCATGCTCAAGGTCTGAGACTTGACCTGCTGAGGCATCATCTCTCTTTCCCCTTCCCTATATAGATTGAGAAAAAAATAAAAAATAAAATAAAAATGGAGTACAAGGATAAGTGAAATTCCAGAAACATGTCCAAAATCCTTTTGCACTTACTTATTGTAGAAAATGCATAACCATACCAAGAATTGGAACCTAAGTAATAGTTTCAGATTACAATTTAAAACCAGTTTGAAACCGTTAAAACAAAAGCCGAAACATTACACAAGACTCCGGCTATGTTTTTCAACTGTACATAACAAAGTTTCAGGAACAAAGCCTAAAGTACTGAATCAAAAAACTGAAATACAAGCAGAGAATCATGTTTAAATACCTATCAAAAAAATTAAACGGTTAGAGTGAAAAATTGACTTACACCACGCTCAGCCTCTAAGAGAGGTGCTCTTTCACTTCCATGTGCGTTCATCCTCCTCAACCACAACAAGTGCCTCTCTCTCTCTCACTCCCACCCTCCAAATTATAATAGTGCCAGTACCAATAATACGTTGACCCTCATATCACTAAATTATTATGTATGCCTCACACAATAATAATAACTGTAGATAAATAATATTGGAGTGATTGTTATTGGTCAAAAAGGCTTCACTTCAATTAAATTTCCCAAAAAAAAGTGTATGGGGTCCAAATATCAGCCAAATAGACGGGTAACGATTCAGCTTACCCATTTCTCGTTTATTGATCATGATTACTATTGATGGTCCAGAGAAAATAAAGAAAAAAAAAAACTGATTGGTTACTAATAAAATATGAGGGTTTCCGGTTTTGTTTAGGCATGAAAATTGAAAAGTGCCTGTTTAAGAAAAAAAGGTTACTAATAAAAAAATTATTCTTAGTGAAATTTTATATTTTCCTTTTAATGAAATATGAACTTAAATTTTTTTAAATAAGAGTTACATAAAGTTTTTTCTAATAATAAAAATTATATCATTAACATCTATCTTATTTAAATGCTTGGATTTCTACTCTTTGAGAAAGTGAAACCACAAAAAAAGGCACCATTGACCAATACAAAGAGATGACCTTGACTTGGGTCATTCAATTGTCATGGAAATTTCTTAGCAAGAAAACATAAGGTGCAATTTGACCATGGGTTTGTTTTTTCTAAAATTACTTTAGATAATTTTATCTAATATTTATTGAAACGACGTCGTTTTAGGACGAAATTATGATATTTTTGTAATTTTAATTTATTTCAGGATTATAATAGTCTTTATCATTCTAATTTTTTAATTTTTCAATCTCAAAACGACGTCGTTTCGATGAACATTAGACAAAGTTATCTAAAGTAATATTAGATACTTTTTTCCCTTTGAATATTATGTGAACCATGTTTAGTAGCTTATTCACGGGTTTGAACTTGGTATTTACAGAGAAATATGTTGAAAACAGTTGAATTATTTTTTGTTTTCTTATATATTAGTCTATGATGATCTAACTGGGAACGTGCATACCTAGGGGTATATACTTCTACTTTTGTTTATTATTTTGTTTCTTTAGTATTTTGTTCTTGCATACCTTATTCAAAAAAATTTGCGAACAAATATTGATACAGTTGATTAAAAGTTTGGTTTATATTTTTTAAGGGTATGAGTTCAAATTCTATTAGTCGATATAAAATTTTTATTATTGGATAATATATAATTTCTATCAAAAAATCTCCAAAAGAAGAGTCTTAACTTAACGGAGCGTTTGGTACGCGGCATTTTTTTAGATTTTCAAGAAATTAAATTTTTTAAAATTTTAAATTTTTGAATATTATCATAAACTGAATGTAAAAATTATATTTTTAAAAATCGAGATTTCTAAACAAAAAAAAAAAAAAAATCTTGTACCAAACGCCCCCTAAATGATCTTGGTGTCTAACTGCATTTAAAGTTTTAGTTAAAAAAAAAAAAAAAAACTTTGATCAGTGAGGTAACGTCAGCATTGACGTCATTCTCAATCTAAATGGACTGAGAGAGTGGTATATGCTGCTTGCAGCTTAGTTTAGTCCGTGAATGTGGTCCCCACACGCTACGACTGTTTTGTTTTGTTTTATTCAAGGCACGTGTCATGACGTGTCTAAACCTAAAAATAAAATAAAAAATACTACACAACATAGACTAGAAAGTCTAGAATAGCTATTTTGACAAAATTCCAAGTAATTTTTGAATTTGATCATAATAATACATATTTTAAAATAAGATATCACATAGACAAAATACCTTCCACAAGGCAATGTCGACATATAGATAATAGAATAAATAAAATGAATGCAACTTCTCAATGATAAGGCTCTCTTAAAGATGCTAGTATTAATGACATTTTCTCGACGTATCAATTATAGTAGAAAAATAAAATAAAATCATGATATGCAATGTGACGTCCCATAAAAAGGTACTAATGGAAGAGTGACCATTTTGTCACGTTTGCAAAAAAATTACCAAACTGTAATGCCAACAGTAAATTTTGTCAAAATATCACGCGACATATTTCGTTACACTGTGTAGCGAAATATGTTTGCAAGTAATTCGCTACACAGTGTAGCGAAATATGACATATCAGGATGCACAGTCAGCAAAAATGACACGTGTCAAGCAAACAGAACCCAAACATAATTCGCTACACAGTGTAGAGAATTTCTGCCTACTTGACACGTGTCACTTTTGCTGACTGTGCATCCTGACATGGCATATTTCGCTACACTGTGTAGCGAGTGTAGCGAAATATGCGGCGTGGTATTTCGACAAAATTTATTATTGGTGTGACAGTTTAATAAAAAAATTTGTCAAGCGTGACAAAATGATCACTGTTACACTATTAATTCAGATGACATATTTTATAGGGCACTTTCACGTGGCATATAACAATTTTACTTTACAGACCCCATGAGATAACCGTATCCCAGATCCATATTCCAAAGCCCCCCGGCACTCTCGCTTCCGTATCACCCCCAGCATTTTTTTACTTGTAAATCGACTGGGCCGTTCCAAATGGTCCAACCCACAACGTCGTGGTACTACCATGAAAGCCCACATTGGGAATGAAATTCTTCGACATTGTTCATGTTAAGCCAATAAAACAAGCCCAAAATTAATCAATTTAAACCTTTTTTGTCCACTAATTCAAAGATTAATGTTATTTATCATGAATAATTTCATATAAATTATATTATTATATATACTTGTTTTTAAAATTTTAAATTATGAAAAAGATAATTGTCAAAATAACTAATCGAAATGTGTGACTTCTTAGTTTTGCAGTGTAGAGATATCTTAAATCAAATACACACATACATACATCTGTATGATATCATTTACCAAAAAAAACATATAATTTTAGGGTTTGGTGTTTGTCATTTTAAATGACATAAGTTATGTCATTTTAAGAGAGAGATCGACACAGAAAAACAGAAATCATGGGAGAGAGAAAGTGGGTGGTTTTTTTTAATTTAAAATTCAAATTTTCTGTGTCTGTATCTCTCTTAAAATGACTTAATTTTCTGTCATTTAAAATAACAAACATTTTTCCCATAATTTTATTAACCGACACTGCATGCATATGAATTCACATTTTTGCATACAATCATAATTAAGTATAGAACATGTGTCCTAAAGTGAAAGATTAGAAACAAAAATTAAATTAATTTTTTTTACTTATTCCAATTACTTAAATAAGAAAATATTGTTATAAAATAAAGGAGAACAAGAACATAGAAGGAACAGAGAGAAAATTAGTACAAGGAGAAAGACAGATAACTTTTTTCATTGTGTATCTATGTCCCCTTATATATGGTCTTTATAGGCTCTTTGTAAGTTACAAGGGAAAGAAATTAATAATTCTGATTAATTACAGTTTGGAATAACGTTTTTGAGGTTTCGGATATTCATATAATTATATTATTTATAAAAAATATTAAATATTTTAGTTATTACGTCCTTTATTAATAGTTTCACTTTTTTAACCTGTCACATTATATGTTAACAAATCCCTAAAGGTCATTCGAGTTTGCACTTTTTATATTTTAAAATTATTGAATAAATAGTATTAGTTATTTTAGAGAAAACGTTCTTAAATGACCATCTATGATCCAAAATTATGGGTGCAATTGAATATGTAACAAAAAATAATGATTATTTTGTTGAAAAAAATAAAAATTAAACGCGAAAGTGAGAAATTCAACGTTAACTACTTTGTTCAGAATGAGATAAAGAGCAAGATATATATATATATATATATATATATATATATATATATATATATATATATATATATTGCTAGGGTTACGTGAGTTAGGTTTTAATTTAAATATGTTAGATTAATGTAAAATATTTTAATACTAACTTTATCTATTAGTTTAATATACGCAAATTTATAAGTCTCATCTGATTTAAATTTTTTTTTAAGAAAAAAAGACTTAGCTTATTAACTTATTTAAGCCCATCAAATTTTTTATGTTTATCAAGAATTGAAAATTCTCTTTTATTAGGTTAGACCTAGCCCAACATAGTTCAAGTCATAAGCACCCGACAGGCCAATTTCCTATTTTCACTCCTAATTGCTTATAACATGCTTCACTTTAAAAATTTCTAACACTCATTTTCTATTATTAGATATTCATGATATTGAATTAGAAATTAAGCGGAATGTTGTAAAATACAATGGATAAGTATTTGATTTCTCATTACTTTTGATGTATTTTGTAACCACCACATTAATGGTAAATTAAAGTATAATTATTTTCGTTAGAGTCTCATATATAATCACATGACTTTTTATAAAAAATGGAATGATTAGTGAAATTGGAATTGATGATATTCTAATGCTTTTCTAAGAGTTCATACCTCTATAACACGAAGTTTGGGACTATAATTTAAATGGAGATTTTAATTTATCAAAGTATTTATTGAAATGTACTAGTGACTCATGATCAGCACTAGTATCGTAATTATTTATCAAAGTATTTACAAAAATCCACTAATTTATCATAATTATTCTCAAATGTCCAAATTGATGATTCGCCATAAACGTGTAATGTGAAATACTTCCATGAAAGTATATGCGCATTAAGGTTTTCACAGTTCTTATGATGAAAATAGGGTTCCATCGGGAGAGGATAACAAACATATCAAATTAAGTAAGCAAAGCATCATCCTGTTCTGGATAGCACACTTACATAGGTCCAGCCACTGGGTCCAGCCTAAAAAGCTCACTTCTAGAAGGCAACATAGGATTTCCTCTCTTCCCATGCACATGGTTGCCCCTGCACACTCGCAGGGGTTTAGCATGCCCAACCTAAAAAGGCTAGGCTGGCTAGGTTGATTGGAGCTCTCATTCTAAATACCCCCTCTCACATTGAGGAAGGGGCTTATTCTCCTCCATTAAACTGTTGGGAACTCGGTTCCCTCAAGCTCGGCTAAGCAGCCTTTGTGCGAAAGTCAATCAACAAGATCCTGATCTCGGATCTCGGCAATACCTCAGCATGAACTTCACCAGGTCGGGTAG